TGGATTTCTGTAACCTTGACCTTTGAGACATTGACCCTCCAAAAATATTCACTTCTAAGTTTGGTCATAGTCCAAATGTATACCAGCTTTCGTCCAAATCTATTCGGCCGTTTTCGAGAAATCTTGCTGACAAACACACACACAAACAAAAACATACACAAGGGTGAAAACATAACCTGCGTACGCCTTCGGTGACGGAGGTTATAATGTAAACGAACCAGTAAATAATGTAACTAACTTAACATACCGGTCCAACTAAAAGTATTGAATGTCTTAAAACAAATTTATAATAATTCTATTGATAGTTCATTTGGATACTCTCGCTGTATTAATATTTTCGGCCGCATCAGTTTGTTTAGAACTAAGCACAAAGCTACACAATGGGCTATCTGTGCTCTGCCCCCCACGGGTATCGAAACCCGGATTCTAGCGTTGTAAGGCCGCAGACATACCACTGTGCCACTGGGGGGCATCTCCTTCCTGTTACACAGACTTTATCGTGTACAATATGCAACTTTAAATACATGCCAAGGAACATTTACAGATAATGGCAATGGAGTAGCCAAACTACATTTCCTTCCTGTTACACAGACTTTATCGTGTACAATATGCAACTTTAAATACATGCCAAGGAACATTTAATTACAGGTAATGGCAATGGAGTAGCCAAACTACTCTCCTTCCTGTTACACAGACTTTATCGTGTACAATATGCAACTTTAAATACATGCCAAGGAACATTTAATTACAGGTAATGGCAATGGAGTAGCCAAACTACCTCTCCTTCCTGTTACACAGACTTTATCGTGTACAATATGCAACTTTAAATACATGCCAAGGAACATTTAATTACAGGTAATGGCAATGGAGTAGCCAAACTACCTCTCCTTCCTGTTACACAGACTTTATCGTTTACAATATTCAACTTTAAATACATGCCAAGGAACATTTAATTACAGATAATGGCAATGGAGTATCCATTATTTTCTACATTTTTCCTGGGAATGATTGTTTCTCCTTCACGCACCAGTCCTTTATGAGTTTGGATTATTTTCAAAGTTAACAGATGGGGGCCATGAAGCAGCTTCTATATAGTTGGTGTCTGCTGATTTTCTGGCTTCGACTTCTGTAGATCCAACTCGCCAAAGGAACCAGACATACATATCTTCCTTCATGGCTCTTCGTGATGTTTCGGTGGACTTTTCTTTGTGTTCCTCCATGGTTCTTCGTGATGTTTCGGTGGACCTTTCTTTGTGTTCCTCCATGGTTCTTCCGGAACACAAAGAAAGGTCCACCGAAACATCATCTTCCTAAGTATATATTTTTTTCTATTTTTCCCTTTATAGGGATTTTGTTTTTTGTATATCTATACATAAAGCTCCTTTGGTCCAGCTTCTGATAGAACAGCTAGTGTACATTATGTACTGTTGTTGTTCAGTCTTTTCATTTTCCGGATCATTCTGCAGTTTTTAAAAATTGGACTGTTTTTCTGGGCTTAACTTGTATCATCTATAAAGGGCTCTCAAAAATAATCTTCAGTAGCTATTTTTTACAGAATCTCTCAATTGTTTAAAGACTCTCAGGTCTTCACTTTTTAAAGTTTGCACTTCCTTAAACTGGAAATTACATTTGCTACTTTTGTCTTATTTTCGCTGTAACTTTCTGTTTGTTTGGATTGCCAGCCATAATGGAAATGTTGGGAATTATTTTGTCAACCACGTTGCTAACGGAGCACTAATATACTCATTGGTCACGGTTTAGCTACCTTATACAATGAATGACTTTAGACTGTGAGATAACGAATTCTGTTTGCATTTGGTTATGGTTTTGTTTATCGTTCATTTATCATTCCTTCTATTTTGAGTAAATATGAGACTGATATCATTTTGCCCTAGCAGTGACGTACAGACATCATTAATGTTGCTTAGGAGCATGTAAATTATGTGGAGTTAGTATGCTCAAGAGTATACAAATTACGATCACATGCTTTGTAATCTCGTGATCTAACAAGTGAATAAAAACCCTACATTGAACTGTAACAAGTTAGTTCACGAAATATAGTTGAACAGTATTATTGTTGGTTATTACTCGATGTTGTTATTGATCTTGTATTTTAAATACAACGGAATATTGTTATTTTGGAATTAGTTTGTTTTTTTCTGGTCCTTTTTTTCTGATTCCTTTTTATATTCATTGTAATACTTATTAACGTGGATTTATACATTGCACTGCTCGTTAACGTTAGTTTCAAGTTCTGGCCAGACACATATTTCTGTACTATGTTTTCGTTAGTTATCAATCTTGTATTTCAATAGTTTGAATGTCACACTTTGGACTTATGTCGTTGTAAAAGTATAATAAATGTTTTATTATTATTATTCAACGTTGGTTGTAACAGCGAGTTACTATAGGCTGTTACAAAGTTTATTTTAGCACATCTTTAACTGCTGGTTGCAGTAGCTTTTGATGTTTACCCATTTCCTAGCCTTTCTTCTAGAAATTTGGATATTATTATTTTTCACGGTTGTGATTGGATATATGTGAACTGAACGCCAAAGCTGGAAATAAAGTCTTCCACCAGATGAGCTAAGCAGCAATGTCTTCCACCAAATGAGCTACACAACAATGTCCTCCACCATGGAGTTTGAAAGGGCAATATCCTCCACCAGGAGATATAGCACAGTAAAGTCTTCCACCAGGTGAGCTACACAACAATGTCCTCCACCATGGAGTTTGAAAGGGCAATATCCTCCACCAGGAGATATGACACAGTAATGTCTTCCACCAAATGAGCTACACAACAATGTCCTCCACCATGGAGTTTGAAAGGGCAATATCCTCCACCAGGAGATATGACACAGTAATGTCTTCCACCAAATGAGCTACACAACAATGTCCTCCACCATGGAGTTTGAAAGGGC